AAATTACTTAAGATATTTATACGTTCACTTGCCACCATAAAAAAGTGAGGTAGCCCGGTACTGTGAATATGAACCCATGACTGAATCCGAACCCCGGTACTGTGAATCTGAACCCCATGACTGTGAATCTGAACCCCGGTACTGTGAATCTGAACCCCACGACTGTGAATCCGAACCCCGGGCTCAAGAAGAAGTACAACACCATCCAACATTTAATCTTACCTACTCGTCACTGTACACATCGCCTGCTTAAAATATTCATATGATATAAAGTTTTGGAACGTCAATATTCACCTGTGATTTTGAAAATAATATTATGCGTCTCCCTCGTGTCGGACGTCGAAAGTTCATCCCATATAATCGCATTTCTTCCTTCTCTCTCTCGTCCCCCTCTTCCCCTTTCTCTTCCTCCTCCTCCTGTCCCTCTTCTTCCTTCTCCTCTCTCTCTTCTTCCTCCTCTCCCTTTCTCTCTTCTTTCTTTCTCATTTCCTTTTTTCTCTTCCTCCTCCTTTCCCTCTCTCTCTTCCTTCTCCTCTTCCTCGTTTATCACATTTACTCTTCACACAGGCGACACTCACTCTCATTACCACGGCTTCTGTTTACTGGATCTGTTATTCTGCATTTGTGTTTGTTTCTTGTTTTTTGCTACTCTTAGTGTTGATGTCTGATTATTTTTTTGTGATTTTTTTGTTTTTTTATTTTGTTCTGGTTTTGATTTTGTTGTTGTTTGGTTGTTATTGTTGTTGTTGTTGTTTGACAATAATGAAAAGTCACTTCATATGGGTAAGTTAGCAATTGACGTAGAGAGACCCACCAGCCCACCACGACAACACCAGCCTACCACGACCCACCAACCCACTCCACCAGCCCACCACGACAACACCAGCCTACCACGACCCACCAAATTCATGTTAACTTTCAGGTGTGTCCCATCGGTCCTGTGGCCAAGAGTTCCCAATATATAAACAAACTGAACACATTAATTAGTTCCCTTATTTAACTTGCAAATCCGTTCCGTCGTTCCAACTGGTCAGTCTCACTAAGAATCAAACTCACATAACTACCACCTAACGAATCTAACACGCCATCAATGATGATAACCTTATTTACATGTATAGGTTGTAAATCTAACCTAAATCTAACCTAAATCTAACCTTAATCTAACTAGGTCAATCGCCTTACGAGTCCTACTAAACGGTCAGTATACTGTACTTACAATTCTAATCAGTTATTGGATAAAGCCAACTATTCATTTTGTGGTGTTTAATCTAACTATCCAGTAAATTAAACCATGTCAAGATATATAAAAAAAAAGAAAAACATATCGCTGACCAGTCTATTTACACAACTAACCAACCAATCACATGAAAATGATCCGATTAACGAATCACCACATCGCGGGTCGACAACGCTAAACAACCATTAGCAGCAGAGAATTGACTGTGTAAACGACAGAACGTAATATGCCGGATCACGACACAACCGGGTAATGTTATTTGATTATGCAAATAAGCCAAAGCTGATTGAATAGTGAAAGTATTGCGCTATGGTCGGCCTGGTTCCAGTCACAGCTAGGAGAGGATAATGCTCTTTTATTTTTCTTCTTTTTTTTTATGTGGTGGTATTAAACTGATTGTCAGGAGGCGGTCGAGTTAAATCACCGAACAAGAAAATATATGAATTGAGAGATATTGTCTAAGATGAGTGATGATCTTATTACTACTACTGCTACTACTATTACTAATAAAACTAATAGTAATAAAAATAAATAATAATAATAATATTAATAATAATAATAATAATAATAATAATAATAATAATAACGACTACTACTACTAATAATAATAATAATAACTACTACTACTACTACTACTACTACTACTACTAATAATAATAATAATAACTACTACTACTACTACTACTACTAATAATAATAATAATAATAATAATAACTACTACTACTACTACTAATAATAATAATAAATAATAATAATAATAATAATAATAATAATAATAACTACTACTACTAATAATAATAATAATAACTACTACTACTACTACTACTAATAATAATAATAATAATAACAACGATAAAAATAACAACAATGAAACACACAAGTCAGGTAAGGTCTGCTGCAGCCTTAAGGTGAAGAAAAACAATAACAAATGTGCTGTAATAATCAACTGTCTACGGTATATCAAAGTAAGCTCATCTAATTAAATAAAATTATATACGACGTAATTTATATTTCTTCTTATACCCATCAACCTATTCTTACCATCCAGGTCTATGTTTTTATCATAATTTAGTTAATACGAGAATTTACTACCTGCATCTTAACACCTCTCGTACAACATGTCACCAGCTGACCGTTTGCCGGGCCTACGACGACGATAATTGGACAGTATTAGTAGTAGGAGCAAATGGTAGTTAGTTAAAGTTGAAGTAATAGTGATGTTTATTGTTAAAAATAATGATAACTGGTCATGTCTGTAAGAGGTCTCACGCACAATGAAGCTTGGAACACCTCAACTCTCCTGGATAAGATAACTGGATCATGCCTCTTAATAATACCTGCCCAAGGTCGGGAAGGCTCACCTGTCCTTGCCACGTTATAATAATAATAATAATAATAATAATAATAATAATAATCGCTAATGATCAAACAGTATCGTTCATTATGGGAAAAACTACATAACATCACGAGCTTTATAAGTCGCTAACCAGCATTAAGATGTGGTGTGTACCGTACTGTAGCAAACAAGACAGACATATTATTTACCAACACTTATATGCATACAGTACCTCAGTGTGATTATCCTACTAAAATATATATATAATAAAAATTTTCTTCTACATATAACAAAGGCAGGTGGGTGGGTGGGTGGGTGGGTGTTGTCAAAGGATAATTTCTCCCATATAACCTCTAGTTACAAAATAGTCATTGCATCAATATTCAACAATACGGAGCATATTAATTTCATCATTATACTCTAAAGTGGGTTAACATACTTAAATTAAATGCAAAAAAATCTCACCATCAAAATACCATTAACCAAAATAAACGCCTCACGTAAATTTCACTATAACTTTTTTCAACAACGCTCAGAGCCAATTTAAAATAATGCGTTTAACTCCCATTCCCTTTAAAATAATTGAACCATTTATTTGGATTTACATAGAGTATATCTATAACAAAACAAACCTCTGTTTCCTTATTAACCAACACATGAGTTTTTTCCAGTGTTCACATGATAATTCTCCTACATAATACAGATGAATTTGTTTACCTTTCACACCAAACTTTACAAGGCGTTTATAAATCAAAACTCTCAACACGGGCGTAAGAGTATTATTAATTTGCATCTATAATTAACGCAACAGATTTATGAGGTATTTTTGGCTCCGATTTACTGTGTGTAAAGTCCCGGTATAAGTTAACAATAAAAATAATTATTTAAATTTATAGGCTACATTACAGAGGACTAAAAACGCCATATTTTTTTTTTTTATTAAGAAATCCCAATTTTTTCTTCGAAGTTCCAATGCAGATTAAAAACCCTTTGAAAGGTAATTTATTAATGTTGTATAAAACTACTTAACTCATGTATCAATTATTAACAATTTGACTTCAGTTTTGCATAATGTAATTCCATTTCCTGTCATGCGGAAAAGAGACACTATACTTGTTCAGCATTTATCACAAGCTGTAAAAAAAAAAAGGTGAAGCTCCCACACACACACGGAGAACCGCAGCTTATTTACTCCACACAAGTCATTAAACGGAGGCAAAAACCCAAGAGCTCACATACTAACCCAACAATGAGGAAATGAAATGAGTTGTAGTTATGTCATGTACTACAGATTAAAGGTCAATGATGATGCAGAGGAATGAACTTAAAAAAACTTGTTTACATTGAACGTAACTCGGCATCTACGAGTATTTCAAAGACTCACACAATACTCGCACACACAGCTGTTATGCCTCGACATTGGGTGGAACAGCAGGAGAAATGCTTTAGGAGAATACCACAAGAGGCAGCAGCTCCAAGTAATGTTGTTGACGACAGATACGATTTCTCATCAGACACAGTTTCAGATGTGATAAACGTGATGGAAGAGTGAGGCCTTTTACCCAAACGAAAATGTTCCAGCGGCAAATGTTGACATGCCCTAGTGGGGGGGGGGGAGGAAAAAACTCATAAGCAATCTAGTAAACAGACAAAACTTACTCCATTTTTTACCCCAGCAATGGAGAAGTAATTGCACACAGATTCTCTACTGATGAACATGTCGTATCTGAAGGTACAGTCGAGGACACTAACGAAATACATGAGGCAATAACTAAAGTACCTCCAGCTTGAAAGAATTAGCGACCACCTCACACCAACACTCCGATAACATTATTTTTTTCCCCATCCATTTTTTTCCCCAGTATTGTTATGATGGGGAGGGGAGGAACAACAAGGAGTCTTCTAGCACAAGTATCAGATTCGGGCATAATTCTTTCAGGCACGACCGGTTTTTATTCAGATAACATAACTCATATATTCTCGGGTATATAACATTATCTACAGTGAGAAACAATATAACATTTAACATATATATGGAAAATTATATCTTATAATTTATGCGTGTAAAGAATCAGCCGAGTCTATCTGAGAATAAGCATAGCAGTAAATACAATGGGATTTTTTTTCTCAAGATTCACAGTGAAAAAGTTGCGGTCCTCAGTCTGGCGCGCGGCTCTTCCACCACTGAGGTAAACAGAGCGTCTCAAAAGTCTCTTCCGTCGAGGCACCAACACAGACAGTACTTCCCTGGACGACAATAATACACCCATGCTTGTAGAAGTTATATAACGAGTGTTCAGAGAGAGAAAGTGGAAAGATACAATTAAAGAATAATTATATACTGTTAATCTACTTTTTTTAATGAAGGATAATTTATGACGCTGTGAGATAATAGAAATAATTATAAGTTACTTTGTTTATATTACCTTATTTTATAGTTTGTTCTTCAATAAACCCGATAAACTTGCATAGCTTAAGGGTCCCGCTTCGACTTCACATCAGTTAGTGCGTAAAATCCTAAGAAGAAGAATATGAGTAAGAGAAATGACAACAACAACAATAATAATAAATGGTAATAATAATAATAATAATAATAATAATAATAATAATAATAATAATAACTAAATCATCGTTAGCAACTATCCAAGGTCAATTTAACAGTTTGCAAGTTAATCAACCAAACTGAAGCACACATTACGACTTTCATCTGAGATCACTTGTTTGTCTGGTTATAAAGCTTTAACCAAACTATAGGATGCACCTTGACCGCGAGGGCACCGCCGCTTTAATAATCATATTCAACAGGAGAACTTTACCAACACAGAATAATGATGATAATAATAATGATACTAATAACAATAATAACAACAACAAGATAATGAAGAGGGCTCTCATATGCAAATTCCCCATCAAATTCCTATAAACATCCTCACACTGAAAAAAACAACATACTAATAATAAGACAAATGATAAAGTTACAATACCGCAGATAAGACAGATAAGAGACAGTGGGAGTGTATGCCTGAGCCGTTAATCTCGTCACATAACTTGTACTGAGTGAATGCATTGATTCAACTAACATCAGATCTCAGGGGTAATTTACATGTCATTTTTTAGAGGTGATTTTTGGTGTGTTTTAGCTTAAATTATCCCGTGATGTGTGTTGTTACATTAGTGGATAAGAGGATAATTTTGACATGTGGAGCATTGGAGAGTTTGTGAGGGAGCATTGAAGAGCATGTGAGGGAGCATTGGAGAGCTTGTGAGGGGGTGGTGGAGTACAAATTTGGGGTACAGCGGGTGTGATATGCCAATCTATTCAATACTGACCTGACCTGACCTGACCTGACCTAACCTGCCATTCCCATCCTCAATGTTAGTTTCCTTATAAAATACTTCAATGTGGGTTTAATTTTAAAAACTTTTCAATTTGAGATTACTAATAAAAAAAATAGGTCATTTATCGAGTATTTCAGTGTAGGTTTACTTAAAAAAATCAATGTGGGTTTAAGTTATGAAATATTTAAATGTGGGTTTAATTAAAAGTTATTTCCTGGTAGTTTAGTGTTATATAACCCTGACAGTAAGGAGGAAGTCAGTGTCTTGTGGGTGACAATGATACGAAAAATTAAACAATATGTGCAAGAAACGCCATCAAAACTATGTTCCTTAATTACATAAAAATGGCATCAAAGATCATAACAAGTTTCCCTGAAAATAAAAACAAAAATGTTAAGACTAAAATGGGTGAATAAAGTGTAAGTTAAGTGGGCGTGAAGATGTGAAGGAGCTTTTACGTGTCAACTTTGCCTGCAGGGAGTCGTGAGGAGGCAACAACACCACGACTGTCACCATGTTCGCGGGTTTTTCATTGTCGTCAAATTTAAATTGTTAAAAAACCCGGTCGCGGCCGACATGTCAAGCCCGCTCGTAAAAACTGGAACATGGAAGTAAACTCGCAATATGGACAACAAGGGCCAACTGACTGTGGCCACACAGATGAACTGACTGTGGCCACACAGATCGGACTGAGGACACCACAGATGAACTGACTGTGGCCACCACAAAGGGTGGGACTATGGACATCACAGACGGGTACAGGTATGGACCCAGGACGCTAATGAATGCTAATTCGACGTTCCGCTTCAAGGGGCTGACTTACTGTAGCCGTCATGGTCATATGTGTACCAAGACCATCTAATATCTGCCGCCAGTGTAGTTATAACTCCCTGTATAAGATATTCATAATGATATCACTAATACCTTAACTAGGGTTTGGATTTGGATTATTTTGAGGGGTAGTTTTAATAAATGGTAATACTACTGTTTGTAATATAAACAAGACACAGAGTTGTTAGCTATAGAAAGGTTAGGCGAGACGTTTGTTGAAGGAGGGTTAATACTGAACTCTACCCCGTATAGTATCCTCTTAAGGAAATAAAGGAATCCAAATACAAATAACTGCTCACTGGTGATTCATAACATGTACACCAATGAAGACTATTCTTATCAACATAATTAGTGGATACATAAAGAGTAATCTCACATAAAGTATCACAGATCATCAGAAGAATCAGGTTACATTACTTTGAAACATAACTCCGGTGTTCCCCCAGTAACTGGCTCTGGGTGTTTGAGAGCTTCACTCAGTGTGCAAGCTCCACTATTGTCTACAGTAAATAACGCGTGAAATAAGTAATGATTAATGTTTCTGGGCAGGTAGATGTAACCCTTACAATAGCGAGAAGTTAGCGAGAAAATAGCGAGAAATATCATATGGTTTACTTTCCTCCATTGCTACAAAAAGTGAAATAAATATAGTTCCATCATTAAGGTATTACACAACTACGGTACTTAATACATGTCATTATTCTGCGTCTTCTCTATTAATGTTCTAACACATTTTCTCCCGTCATATATTGGTGATAAAATAATTAATTTTGTTCAGTGAAATGGTAGAGAAAATAATTATATTTTTTGCTCATTTTTCCAACCAATCAACACCCACCTCACACCTAAACACCCCCAGCACTTAATTATATCTTTCACGTATTTCTTACTTGACCTGACAACTGACCACTGCACAATGTAAACTTCCTAAGAAAAAAAAATAAACACAAAAACACTAAACAAAGAAGAATTACTACAGGTATATAAACTTACAAATAAAACCGCTGTAGAAATAAAAAAATAATCAAATAAACAAGTATATAAATTGTATTAAACCAAAAACAACCATTATATAATCAACGAAGGAAAAAAACAAACATTACACAGTTTAGTGAACACTGCTAAATAACACTGGCACGCGAAGCACTCGGAGAGAAAAACTACAAGTACATTATTATTGAAACTATTGCAGAGTATTAAGTTTTATCTTTTAGAAAATAAGACTTAATGGGCGTTACTTCACAGCCCTGACCATGGAAATAACAAGTGTTCAAATCGAATTATTAACATAAATTATATATAACACAAATAACTATATAAAAAAAAGTACAAATTAACGAGAAAAAGCAAGAATTTATTAGACTTTATTTCACAGTTTTAATGCAAATATGAGTATGCCAAAAAATTAATGCGAATGAAAACAACGATTTATAACAGGTGTTCGAAGCACAGGTGTATAATGGTTGAATCTTTCACAGTTTCAAGATATATGAATTATTTTAAAGAGCTCGAAGGAAGAAGTTTTAATATACCAGATGATCTTATGGCTACAACTCCCCATAATAATACTAAAATATTTTAAGCCCGACCCACGACAGCCAATAACAATATGTGCACCAAGTTCCTCAGTGGTACACACACACACACACACACACACACACACACACACACACACACACACACACAATCATATATTATGTGCGATGTGGCCATACTAAATGATATGGTGAGGTAGATTAGACCACAGTAATAATAATAATAATAAATAAAAAAAACAATGCTACTATACTATTCTTCTAATTTCCAATAATATATCAACTACCACCATCTACTACTACTACTACTACAACTACTACTACTACTACTTATCACTTACATAACCACCTTCTCCTCCTTTTACTATTATTACTTATGTGCTACTTCGATTCACTATCTACATAACTACCACTACTACTACCACCACTACTACCACCACTACCACAACTACTACCACCACTACCACTACCACAACTAACACAACTTCCGCAACTACTACCACAACTAACACCACCACCACCACTACTACCACCACTACTACCACAACTACTAGCACTACTACTACCACAACTACTACCACCACTACTACCACAACTACTACCACCACTACCACCACTACCACAACTACTACCACCACTACCACAACTTCCACAACTACTACCACCACTACCACCACCACTACTACCACAACTACCACCACCACTACTACCACAACTACTACCACAACTACTACCACCACTCCCTACTCTACGACAACTATACACTCCAACCACACTATTACTACTACAGACACTTTGAAAGAGCAACTATAATGTACGTGTGTATTAAGAGAGATAATGTACCCACACACACTAAACACCTTCCCTTCACACTCACTAGGAAAGACTTAGCTACAAAAGAAGGACCACCTCTTGAAACACTCTATGACAGGTGTGTACATTAGACAGCAGAAACTACACCATCTATAAAAACGATTACTATATATATGACTAATTTCTAGTTTAACTCTCCTACACTTTATTATTATTATTTTAGTATCATTATTCATGTATACTGTATTATTATTATTATTAGTGTTATTCAGCATTATAATTATTAACCATGAAAAAAGGAGTAACAGACTGCGTGACGTGTGATATACCAGGTGTGTTCAGGTAAGGTATGATAATTAACACCAGCTTACACTGACCACCACCACCACCACTGAGCAGCCTTATCAACACCACCACCACCAGCAGTAGCTCCTCACGACACCCAGGTCTTCATAATGTCGCCCCTTGTCTTAGCTTGGAGTGTTTTTGTGTTTTTTCTGTTATTTCAGTTCTTGATCGATGACACTCAGCTATTCAGTATGTACGAGCTGTCACAACAAGGTCATTCACAGGTTAACATACCTCATTAAACTATCCTGGTGATTATTAAACACCACCACCATCACTGATCAACATTACCTATTATCATGGACCGATCAGTCGTATTCACTTTACTCCGGTAAAATAACCAATAACAACCAATGCAATGGATAACCAATAACAATCAACTCTTGAAACTGATAACCAATCACATTCAACCCCTCCCCAGACCCCCACACCCCCCTTCCCCAAGAGGCGTGTATTGGTCTTGAAGCGGAGAACAGGTCCTGAGATGCGAACCAATATAGTTTGTACACTTCTACGACTATTTACTTCTTTCATGAATCCTCCACTCTGGACAAACACCAACCCTTTCAGCCCAAAATTTAGAGTTCCTAGAAATTTAGAGGCATCGTAGAGTGGAATAATTAATTTCTAATCTCCCTCCATCTCCCTGAG